GAGAGAGATCTTCCATCTGCTGGTTCACTCCCCAAATGGCCACGATGCAGCATGGCTGGGCTGTGCCAGGCTGAAGCCAGGAGCTGGGAACCCGGGAGTCTCCTACGTGGGGGCGCAGGGGACCAAGGACTAGAGCCATCTTCCACTGCCTTTCTCAGGCACATTAGGAGGGAGCTGGACGGCAGTGGAGCAACCAGGGGTGGAACAGGCGCTCGTGTGCAAGGACAGCTTTGCAGGCAGCGGTTCATCCTGCGGCACCACAATGCCAGCTCCCTAGAATTTTTTTTTCTGAAATAGCGCTTAATGTGCCCTGAGTTCAGAAGCAAAAGAAAATGCAGAAAATTAGAAAAGAATAAAGGGAAAACCATTAAAAAAAACTCCTCACTCACTATCCAGAGATAGCTTTTCTCTTAGGGCAGTTTAGTTTATATTTGTAACTATCAAGCCATTCATATATATATTTATATAAATTATGTTTCATAAATATATATATATTTATTGCAAGACTTGTAAACCTGAATTTAAAAAGCAGTTCCCCAAAGGAACAATTGATTCTACATCTGAGATTAGCCCTTGGTACTACAACTGGTGCTGTGTATCTATGGGTTCCACATCCGCAGCCTCAACCAACCACGGACACAAAATGCTGCCATTAGGTGCGGTGACGGCATGTGTACAGACTTGTACAGACTTTCTTCCTTGCCTGTGTTCCCTAAGCAATACCACGTCACGCTGATTTCCATAGCATTTCCATTGTGTTTAGCATGCTAGAGTCCAGAGATGACGGACGCACGGGAGGATACGCACAGCGTACACGCATGCCACACCGGTGGTTTATACAATGCACCGGCACTTCCACAGGATTTGGTATCTGCGGCACGGGGGCTGGTGTCTCGGAACCAATCCCCCATGGGTATCTAGGGACAACTGTGTTTTGGGTTTTTTCCTGCCTGGAAGCTCCACAACATCAGTTTATCTCAAAGGCAGAGTGACAGAGAGTGGAAGAGACACACAGAGATGTCTTCCATCCACTGGTTCACCCCCCAGTAGCAAGGGCGGGGCCAGGACGAAGCCAGGAGTCCAGAACTCCATCCTGGTCTCCGACATGGGTGGCAGGGGCCCTACTATTTGGGCTGTCTTCACCTGCTTTCCCAGGCGCATCAGCAGGGAGCTGAATCAGAAGTGCATAATAGCAGGGACTCCAACCAGGGCTCAGGTATGGGATGTGGGTGTTGCGAGCTGCAGCTTAACCCACTGTGCAATGATGCCCATATACTCGCTTTAGATCCTATGTGATAATTTGCGATTGCAATGGCAATGTGATGGCTTTTACTCAAATTATGTATGTGTTCCTTCACTAGCTCTCACCCCGAATATTCTAGTGCATAAATAATAATGGTACATTCGCATGGGGAAATTGGATAAATTTTTTTTTGACAGGCAGAATGGACAGTGAGAGAGACAGAAAAAGGTCTTCCTTTTCCATTGGTTTACCCCGCAATGGCTGCTGCGGCCAGCGCGCTGCGGCCGGCACACCGCGCTGATCCAAAGCCAGTAGCCAGGTGCTTCTCCTGGTCTCCCATGGGGTGCAGGGCCCAAGGACTTGGGCCATCCTCCACTGCCCTCCCGGGCCACAGCAAAGAGCTGGCCTGGAAGAGGAGCAACTGGGACAGAATCCAGGGCCCCGACTGGGACTAGAACCCGGTGTGCCGGAGCCACAGGCGGAAGATTAGCCTATTGAGCTGCGGCGCTGGCCGAAATTGGATAATTTCATACTCATACACAATGACTGGTGATCCCACAACAGTAATTAGCATTTCAGTTTCCTTAAACATTTATCATTTGTGTTGGGAGCTTTGAAGTCCTTTCTCCTCGTTCTTCATAAAATACACAATAAACCATGGTAAACCATCGCCACTCCACTGTTCTGTAGAACATTACACCTCATTCCTCCTAACTGGATTTTGGAACTCATTAGCCAACCTTTCTCTTTGCATGGACTTCCGAAAGCCCCAAATAAGGTTTGCAACAAACGATTTCACTTCTTCAGCGGCGCTTCCCCTCATTTTGATGGAGACGATGCGCAGAGAAGCGCTTGGAGTGGTTACAAGAGAGCATGTACATATGTGTGTACAAGGCTGGGCGATGCTGTGGCAGTCCCCGCTGTCTGCAGAAGCCCCGGGGAGGGTGGAGGACACCATCGTGGTCCTGCCATCGTGTGACAAGGGGCCGTTTGGCCTGCTAATGAAGGAACGTCTTAAAACACCTGTGTTCCACATCAGATCCCCTGGGGATGGCTCCCGGCTCCAGCTCTGACTCCAACTTCCTGCTCATGCAGCCCCTGGGAGGCAGCGGTGCTGGCTCAGGTAGCCGAGTTCCTGTCATCCGTGTGGGAGGCCTTGATTAAGTTCCTGGCTCCTGGTTTTGGCCAGGTCCAGTCCCAGCTGTGCACACACGAAGAATAAACCAGAGGATGGGCGCTTTCTCTCGGACTCTTTAACACTTGGGAATATTACGGATTTCTTGAGGGTAAATTAAGTCCCCGTGTATCTCCTGCTGCCTCCCTCTGCACCGGAAGCACGGACAGTGCTGTGCTTCTTGCAAAAAGGGCTGGCTCTGGACCAGTGGCTTTACCCAGGTTGCTCACACCCACTCCCCATCCTGAATTCTCAGGGATAAAGTTCCTTTTCTAGCCCTCTTCCCAGAAAATCCCACGTTCCCTGTTCTTTCCACATCGCGGGGATGACATCTCCGTGACAACTGGACAGGATGCGAGGATGCTTTGCAGATTACTGAAGCACTCAGGTGAACACAGGGCGCACACAGGGCTGGTGCTGGAGACGCCAGCAGCGGCAAAACAGAAAATCGCTGTCCTCGGGAGCCTGATGGTACCGTGACCCCCCACGCCCCGCAGGTCAGCAGCAGCCCCTGGTGCTTGCTTGGATTCCGCTAAAAGTTGACTTTGAGCTGACTCCACAAAGCTCAGAACCTCTCAAGCCCTGATGTGCACAGGGGTCCCCTGGGGTTCTTGCTACCTGAAGATCCCGTCTCAGTAAGTCCGGGCTGGCCCAAGAATTTGTGCCTCTAACAAGCTTGGATGCTGCTGGCCCACAGAACACCTTGACAACCCAGGGGTTAGGGGCTACCTTGTGTCATCACCACTTCCAATAGCATCCGGCCACACGGAAGAACTAGCACCTTCTGTGGACAGGGCTGCAGGGCAGGGTCAGATGTGGACCCCCTGCACATCGGAAGCCCCAACTCGCTCACCTGCGGGCAGACGCCCTCCCGCCCACTGCCCCATTAGGACAAAACCCTAACTGCTAGACGTCTCGAAGAGATGCATTCACCTGGCCCTTGTCATCTGGTATTTTTAGCTCGGAGCTCCCCTCTGAGGAAGTCGTCAGGGTTCTGAAATCTTAACCACCATGCACCGGCATTCTGAATGCCTGTCCCGTGTCTCCAGAGCAAATAGCCAGCATCCACTGAATGTTTACTATGTACCAGGCAATATGCTATCCGCTGTACAGGGATTATAGTGCTTAATCTTTACAATGCTGCGAGGTAGACTCAATTATTTTCTGCAAACAATCCAAACGAACTAGAAAGCCTGAAGGTCACAGAGAATGTCATTAAACTGGAAGGGATATCCTTTGCCAGGAGGTGCCTGGCGTCTGGTGCGTCCCCCTGTCCTCCAGAACGGAGCAAAGACCAGACCTGATCTTCCCAAACCCATGCTCTTGAATACATGTACATAACATCCGCAACAACGGAGTTAACGACAGCGAAATTGGTGCAGGGAGATGAGCAAGGAAGTGACGACGCTCAGGCCTTTAGGAGTCTGTCCAAAGGCCCTTCTGTCTTCGCTGCTTTACTGTGGCAAACGCCAGCTCCATGTTAAGAGTTGAGACTATAGAAGCAAAATTACCACCAAGTGCGGTGGCATTTGTCATTAGGGTCTCGAACAGAAACTCGCTTCTCTCCCTGCTTGTAATTAACGCTCCTGGAAGGACACAGTTACAGGGTGACAGGTGCACCTCCAAGTGAGGCAGTTCTCCAGTATCTGCGTGCAGGTTTTTTTCTTCAGTCCCGAGGACCTGTGGTCAATTGCATTTTGATTAAATATTGGGTGGAAGATTCCAGAAATAAACAATTCATAAAATTTAAATAATTTTGATCAGGGTATATCGTTAAACTGTTCCGTTTTATTAGCTATTATTGTTAACCTTCGGGTACATAACTTATACGTCGAAGTAAAGACTCACATAGGTCTAGAAGAAAATAGTATAATAGAGCTTGGTGCCACCATGGTTCTAGTCATCTACTGAGGGTCTTGAAACACATCCACTGAGGATATGGGGTTACAAATGAACCACAGTACTTAACAAAGTTTATAGAATATGTAATTAAAGGGTGTTTGTTTTCTGCAAAAAATTTTGAAATCTATGCATAGCTATTTTTAATGATTTATTTTTTGAAAGGCAGACATACACATACACAGAGAGAGAGAGAGAGAAAGAGGATATCATTCATCCACCAATTCATTTCCTAAAATGGCTGGAACAGCCTGGGCTTGGCCAGGTCAAAGCCAGGAGCCAGGAACTTCTTCTGGGTCTCTCATGTGGGTGCAGGGGCCCAGGCACTTGGGCCTTCATCTTCTACTGCTTTCCCAGGTGTGTTAGCAGGGAGCTGGCTCAGAAGTGGAGCAGCTGGGACTCAAACCGGCACCCATATGGGATGCTGGCACTGCAGGCAAAGGCTTAACCTGCTATGTCCCAGTGCGGGCTCGTTTTTTTTTTTTTTTAAAACATTTTCCATGAACTTTTTGACTATCCCCAGCTCCAGAACGAAGAAGACTGATAGCCCAAGCCAAATATACTTCCTACTGAAGGCGTGAGATAGGCGTGTCTTTTCATTAGTAGTTAGCAATGGCACCAAAGTCAGGCTGAGTGCAAGGCACCATTGGCTGAAATGTGCCAACATACAAATAAGAGAGAGAATTTATTTTCATTCCAAGTTTATTTAACATTTCATCCAGTTGAAATGAAATAACACATCGACTTCAACACTGGCAAGACGCTGGGCTAATACTGAAATCAAGACTGCCAGTGAGGAATTCCATCATAATCCTTTGTATCACGTCACCAGGAGTAGCAATCACTATTTATCTTTGCCAGCTTATTGCACTTCGTGTGGCTTTTTATTTTGCCCCCTCCAGAAAAGCTAAATTTCTAAATGGTTAAAAGACTGCCAACCTTGCTTCTTTTGTTCTGTTTTCTTTTTTTTATAAACAATGATTAAACTATACAGTTAATATTTCTATAGAAAAGCAGGAAGAGTCTGAAGCTTCAACAGACAATGTTTAAAAAGATACACCTGCACACAAGGTCCCTGCGCCTCTCGGGACTGTGTGTGGCCGCCTCTTCCTGGCGTCTGGTGCGTCCCCCTGTCCTCTGACCCATCATCATCCCACTTTCACTTAGGGTTCAGTGCAGAGTGAGTGGGGGCGAGGGCTCTGCTGTGGCTGGCGCTGTGGGCCAGACCCCCAGGGACTGCACCCTGCACAGACCTGCAGCCCCGCCTTGGAGGTCAGCCTAGACCACCTGAGAGACATCCCCAGGGCATAGCGTCATGGGGAAGCCACTCCACACTGACAGACAGACCTGGGTGAGAAGACCCTGGGGTGGGGTGGGGTACAGCTTCAGATGTACTCATCCCTTCTGAGAAAAGAGGAAGCAGAGACACAAGGCACGCACGCTCTGTTTATGAGAGTTTCGCCTGGGCACACGGTCAAGGCTGAGCAGTTTCTAGCGATGCTTTTCACTTAGGGTCTCGGAATTACAGGGATCTCGGTGGAGACCGCCTCTCCTGGGATGTTGCACATCTACCCCTGGCGGCCCCATATCCGTTATTTGTGTGAGGTCACCACCCATGCTGCCATGTGCTCCGTGGTTCCATTATTTCCGAGCGGGGCAGGGCGGGGCGTGATACACAGCATTCCTTTACCGACTCACACACAGCTTATCTCAGTATCTTTCTCAGAGTCACGTACCTAGGAGAAAAGATACACTGGCAGCTGCAACCGGGGTCTCACTTGAACAAAAAGAAAAAGAAAAAGAAAAGAAAAAAACCCAGCAAGGCAGCGTGAGCCCTGACCACGGAGCGCTGGTGTGAGCTGCACTTCAACGCTGGCATGGGTGCGATTCAGCTACTCAGCTGTCCCACGGGAATCTGACTAGGGAAGGAAACAGCAGCACAGTGAGATGAACAGCTTCCGAAGGACGCAGGACACTAGACAGAAGCTGGCCAGGGACATCCACGACAGCCCCCACAGACGCTCCGGTGCCAGCGGGGATGGCGGCTGACACCGGGGTGCAGCTGGCTTTCCCATCGATGGCATCATTTGCACAATGAACCCCCAGGCCTCATCATCTAGGGGCCTGCCCACTCCCCACACTTGGAAGCCAACCGCCGTTGCTGTTTAAGGCCAAGTTTTCTCAGGTTAGCCTCAAGGCTTTTTTATCTTCCCAATTCAATGCTGAGATTCCCTGGACTGCAAACAGGAACGGGATGAACATTCGGTATTTTAAAGATTCCCTTTCCATGGATGGATCATCACTAAATATTTGCTGAGTCTATCCCAACCCCCTGCTCTATGCCTTGCAGTGCTGTTTCTGGGAGTCCTAGGTGAGGGCTGGGATATCATCTTTGAAAAACAATTTTGATAACAGCCACGGGAAGGTTATTCTGTAAATCATCACATGAGTCAAACAGAAGGGAGCCGACAGGTGCCGAGTTAGAAGTTTAGCAGCTTGATTCTAAGGGGCTAACGTGGACGTGTGCACCTGGGAGAACTCAGGTCGGACGGGGCTTTCTTCAGTGACGTGGCAGGAGCAGCCGTGGAGGCTTCTCTCCCCGACTTTACAACCCCTTGTTAAAGTACACACGCCGCAGGTCAGGATGCGCCTCCCGGATCTGGGCCTGCAGCTCCGCCTCCAGGCTCATCACAGACATGGAACTGTGGAGAGGGAGAGAGAGGCAGGGTTACTGAGGGGCACAGGTGGGAGCCAGAGCGAGGCCAGGCAGCAGTGCGATGGATCTCAGTTACGTGTGCTGAACAGGGAACGGGTGCTGGCACACTACAGAGGCAGTGGGTGACGCTCTTGTCTGAAACTTTCCCAGACAGAAAAAACTGAAGACCTCTGTCTCTAGATGCCTATCGGCAGACGTGGGCGTGTTCAAGCACGCAGAGGCAAGTTCACGGGAGAGCAGCTTCCAGCATGCTGGTTGTATCTGCAGAGTCTCGGCTGCTCCACTTCCCATCCAGCTCCCTGCTAATGCACTTGGGAAAGCAGAAGATGACCCCAGTGCTTGGGTTCCTGTACCGTGGTCTCGTGGGAGACCCGGAAAAACTGGCTCCTGGCCTTGGCCTGGCCCAGCCCTGGCTGTTGCAGCCATTTGGGGAGTGAAGGAGTGGTTAAAGATCTCTCTCTCCCCTTCTCTCTATTTCTGCCTTTCAAATAAATAAATAATCTTTAAAAAAAAAAAAGATTTGCACATGAAATGGCACAATAAGTTTATCTAAATGCTATAAATCCTCCCATATACATTATTTAAAAAATTGTTTTATTTATTTGAGAGGCAGACACACACACACACACACACACACACACAGAGCAAGCACTTGCATCCACTGGTTCCCTCCCTAAATGGCTGCAATGCGCAGGCCAAAGCCAGGAGGCAGGAACTCGCTCCAGGTACCCCGAGTGGGCGGCAGGAACCTACTTACTTAAGCCATTACCACAACTTCCCAGGTTTCTGCGTTAGCAGGAGCTGGAGCCAGAGCCAGGAACTGAACCCAGGTACTCTGAATACAGGACAGGGTCATCTTACCCACCCCGCTGAATGCCTACCCGCCCCCCCCCACATACTTTATACCACCCGTGGAGTACTAATAACACAATGCTAAATTGACAGTTGTTACGCTGCCTTTGTACTGTATTGTTTAGAGAAGCATGTTCAATACAGTTCAATTTTTTTTTCCTGAGCACTTTCAACCCTCAGTTAAATGCAAACGCTGTGGACATGGAGGGCCGTCTGGAATGAAAGCCACGATGTCTGAGAGTGCACTTGGCACCATGTACACACACTTTAAACCACGGGCCGCCTGCTGGGGAACCCAATGGCTCTTCAGTGGAGGCCGGGCACACAGTGATGACTGGTCTGCTTTAGAGATGAGGCGGCGCCTCTGCATGGGGATTCCAGAAGGTTCTGAAGGGCCTGTCCTCTCAAGGCCTCTGTAGGTACCAAGCTGAGGAAGGAATCCCTGCTGATGAGATCTGAATCTCCATGCGAGAGCAGTGGGCCCAGGCCGGAGTGGAGGGTGCAGAACTCCACCAGGGAGAGGGGCCTGCTCTGGGAGTTCTAGCACAGCACGCCTGGTCTAAAGGCCTAGGACGCGACCCAGCCTATGTCTGGGCCCTGCTGGACCCTGAAGGGCGGGTACTCCAGAGGCAAGCAGCCCAGAAACACCGAAACCAACATAAACCAAACACCTGAGCTAAGCACTTGCAGTCGCTGAACCCCCGGCTGGAACGTCCATGCCAGCACACCCGTGTTACAGGTGCGCACGGCAGCACAAAGAACACAAGCGGCTTTTTCCAAAAGCAAGCCTGCAGCAGAGTTAACCAGGCCCTTACAAAAGAATAAAGTATTTCCAACTGTGACAGTGGTGGGGGGGGGGGGGAAGAGCTGGGCACCCAGAGTTGGGAAGTGGGACGGATGTGGGCGGAACTTCCGTCTCCATATCGCCGTCTTAGAGACGCTGGATTTGTGATTTTCGAAGTCTGAGCTTCCCTACCAGTGGCCCAGAACCACAGCCCTGGAGGAGCCCTCTGCTGGATTCCAGGGCTGAGACTCGCCACCCTTCTACAGAGCGAAACACGTACCTCTTCTGGGGAAACAGGGCGCAGCACAGGGGCGTCGCAAACACCAAGCTGAAAAACAAGCAGAGACAAATCTGACCGTTTTGAAGTGGCTGACGTTTCACCTTTTTCTATTTTACGTTTATAACAACCCCCTGTCTTCGTTTAAAGTGTTATATTGCCTTATCAAAATAGGTCCTTAGTTTGTGTTAATTATATTTCCTAGCATTGCCAAAATAGTGAAAAAATAAACAAATAAAAAAAGATAGTGAGCTTAAGAAACAATCATGGGGCCAGCGCTGTGGCGTAGCGGGTAAAGACACCGCCTGCAGCGCTGGCATCACTTGTGGGCGCCGGTTAAAGTCCTGGCTGCTTCACTTCCGATCCAGCTCTCTGCTATGGCCTGGGAAAGCAGTGGAAGATGGCCCAAGTCCTTGGGCCCCTGCACCCCTGTGGGAGACCTGGAGGAAGCTCCTGGCTCCTGGCCTCAGGTCGGCACAGCTCCAGCCATTGTGGCAAATTGGGGAGTGAATCAGCATATGGAAGACCTCTCTCTCTCTCTGCCTCTCCTTCTCTTTCTGTGTAACTCTGATTTTCAAATAAATAAGTAAATCTTAAAAAAAAAATCACCCAAATAGCCCCAAAGTAAGTTTCTCTAAAGACAGTTTATTTTATCTAATTATTAGGACCTATGGGTGCTAGGCGGTCTGGCATGGTCCCATATTTTACACCCATCAAATGCTGTATATTTAGCTTTGAAAAAGAAATTCCTCGTATCAAGTAATTTCTACTCACCAAAAGCCGACTAATCCAACCTGAATAGGCGCGCTCATCCACGGGAACCTCTGTGTTGAGAAAGAAAGGGCTTTGAATGCTTTACACCGGCTCTTGGACCATTCCTTCCGCAGCTTTCTGGAAGGCACCTCTCCACATTACAAGAGCAGGTGCAACGGGTTAGTAACATGTCAGGGTGACACTGCAGCAAGTGTGTTAGTCCTGGCTCCCCAGAGCCGCTCTGCTTGGTCAATGAACACACATGCAGAGACCCCATGCAGCTTCTATTTTTTCCCCTTGCACACCTGAGTGCCATACGTGTGCTGCGTGGCTAGGGACAAGGAGTCTTCAGCAGGGTCACAGGAAATGCACGTTAGGAAAACAACTGCGTGGATTTCCACATTTTTGTGCCCCCAAATAAACACCTTTGATTTCCAATCCCCATGGACTTTGTGAAATCCCCTTGTATGGAGAGGTGAGAAATGGCTTCCATTTAATTATGATTTCTCTCCCGCTAGAGCCCGGCCACAGCCTGTGGACCAGTGGACCGGTATGCACGTCTCCACAGGCTTTGAATTCCTTGTTACAGTACAAGAAGTGCACCCCGACAGCTTCCTAAACATGTGCAGAGGAAGAGTTGCCCAGTGACGTTCAGGACGCACCTGACCCAGTGCTTGGAGTACAGCAGAAACCCAACACTTGCCTCGCAGCTTTGGCTTTCTTGGTTGGAGTTGCTGTCAGTATGGCTAAAACTATTTCTCCCATAAAACATTTTTGCTACTCATTTTTTTTTAAATGGAAAGCAATGCGTTGGTTGGTCTTTGAGGATAAATGCTGTTAGATTTTTAGCTTTACAAAAGGAGTGGGATCGAAATACACACTATAAAGAACAATCAGACGGTTAGGTAAATAAGGCCACAGAAAAGGCGGCAACCGGCTTGTGGGGGTGGGGGTGGTGGGGATGAGCTCAGAGCTAAGGCAAGTTAGAGACGGCGTGCACGAGTGGCGTACCCTGGTCCCCAAGGAGACTCCTCTGGCACAGAGGTACCTCAGGAGGGCCGATAGAAAGAGAAAGGCATGGACTAGAGAGGAGTGCAGAAACGCTGTCAAGAGGATGATCCACGCGGTGAGTTCTCAAAAAAACAGAGAGAACAGCGGAGTCGTATGTTGCTAAGACAGACACATGTGCTGAGAACTCTGCCGGCTGGCCATGCTGTCATGGGGAGCACAGTGTGCACTTACGCAGGCTGGTACATCACGCAGTGACGCTAACGGGGCTGCTGTCACATACGTGGCCTGTCACCGACCGTGATGCTGAGTCTACCTGACTGCTGTCTGCAGGCCTCCTGGCTCCGCGTGACGCAGGATCTTCCTAAGGACACGGGAACTACCTGTCCTAGCACTTTCAGGACGGGTGACACCTGCACGGGGCCAGGGGATGGGAAGGCAAGCTAAGTGCTGAATGAGATCCTGTACTCGGAGGACCCCGAGCCTGGGAGAGCAGCCTCCAAGTTTCAAATAAGACTCTGGTCTGCAACAGACTGGCTACCCTGTCCTACACACAGCACTTCAGAGAGGCTCACACCCAAACAAAGTGCGCACTGCGGGCCCCGCGGAGGGTCTTCATGGAAAGGGTCCTCGGAATGATGGGAATCCTGGGGAACTCTAACTTACCTTGCAAAACCCGATCTGATGTCATTGCTTTTCCTGCCTCCTTTATGCCTACCTCTCTAATAGAACAGTCTGGGACCACATCAGCATGCTGAGGAGGGCTGGTCTCTCACTAGATAGACACAAGTCCTCAAGGCAGAGACATGCCTTACCTAACAGAACCATGCCAACAAAAGGCACATTGGGGCTGGGCGTTGTGGTACAGTAGGTTAAGCTGCCACCATCTTGGAGTGCTGGTTCAAGTCCCAGCTACTCCAATTTCAAACTAGTTTCCTGCTATTGTGCCTAGGAGGGCAGTGGAGGATGGCCTAAGTAGTGGGGTTTCTGCCACCCAGGTGGGACACCCAGCAGGGTACATAGGGCTCTGGCTCCCCCATATCCTCACCGACACTTGTTATGGTCAGTCTTTCTAATTCTAGTCATTGCAATAGGTGTTCAGGGGTTGTTTGTGGAGTTTTAATTTGAATTTCCCTGATGACTAAAAATACTGAACGTCTTACGTGCTTATCCTATCTTAATCTCTGTATTTCTGCAGAAGTCTCTCTTCAAACCTTTTGCCCCATGATTTTATTAACAAGGTTGTTTCTTTGTTTCTAAAAAATGTATTTGAGGAGAGAGATCCTATCTATCCATTGGTTTGCTCCCCAGATGTCTACGACAGCTAGGGCTGGGGCGAGGCCAGGAGCCAGGAACTGAATACAGGTCTCCCCCATTTCTGGATGGCAGAAATCCATCCCCGCTGCCTCCCAGGGTCTGCACTAGCAGGAAGCTGGAGTCAGGAGCCGGCGCCAGGCACTGAACCCACGTACTCTGAGAGTGGACACAGGTGTCTCAACCACCCCAGGGTTCTTTTGTTGGATGAGTGTTGAGAGCTCTTTGTATTTTCCAAATATAGTCCTTTGGGAGGTACACGCTTTGCAAAAATTTCCTCCCACTCTGCGCCTTGTCTTTCACTCTCTTTATAGCTTTTGAAGACACAAAACTGAACATTTTTGTCAAAGTTCACTTCGTCGGTTTTCCCTTTAAGAACCGTGCTTGAGGCTGTCGGAGGAACCCGTGCCTGGCCCTGGCGTTCCACTACGTTTTCTTCTAGCAGCTTCACACCTGCAGACTTTAACACCCAGGTTGTCTGAGCCACTGCAAGTTCATTTCACTGAGCTTCTGGAGAACATGGGCCCGGGGCTGCTCCTCTCCGGGGGCTGTCCAAGGACTTGAACTTAACAGGAGAACTACTACAGGACCCAGACCGTACAAATGGAATTCCCGGTAAAAGTGCCTGCAAGAATGACCCAAGCTTAGAGAGACCACAGCAGCTGCTGTTCAAGAGAACTGTGCAAGGAAGCGCTCAAGAGAAAGAGTGAACCTGAGTTGGCAGCAAAAATTCCCATGAGTCACCGGCTCACAGCCGATGCCTTTTCCAGCGCAGTACTTGGGAAGAGATAAGGCATGGGGGTGGGGGTGGGGATGGGGGGAGGATGAGTCACGCCAAACACTCTCCCAGCATTGCTGTTCAAAAATGCCAAGACTGTTCAATTAGTGTCGTGCTGGCAGGAGTCTGGTCGTTTCCAGGGTAGAAGCCTAGCTAAGTGCACCCTGGCACACTTGGCCGAGTGAGACAGCGTGGCCTGCAGGGGGTGCTCTGAGCTGCTGTGGGAGTGGTCTCCTAAGAGGGGCATGGAAGAGCCTGCTTTTCCAAAAAGGATGCTGGTGCTGGTGCTGTGGCGCAGCAGGTAAAGCTGCTGCCTGCAGTGCTGGCATCCCATATGGGCGCAGGTTCAAGTCCCAGCTGCTCCACTTCTGATCCAGCTCTCTGCTGTGGCCTGGGAAAGCAGTAGAAGATGGCCCAAGTCCTTGGGTTCCTGCGCCTGCGTGGGAGACCCAGAAGAGGCTCCTGGCTCTGGACTGGCGCAGCTTTAGCCATTGCAGCCAGCTGGGGAGTAAACCAGCAGATGAAAGACCTTTATCTCTCTCTGCCTCTCCTCTCTCTGTGTAATGCTTTCAAGTAAATAAATCTTAAAAAAAAAAAAGAGGATGCCAACGTGCTTGGAACACAGGAAAGGAAAGGATGGAGAGTGACAGAATCAGACATCCATGTGTGCCTGTGTCAGTGACATGCACACTGCCCATCACACCCCACAGTCCTCTTGCCAGTGGCGGAGAGCAACGCGGCAGCAGCCTTGGGCTTGGAGGGCAGGTGTGCACGGGCGCCTTGACGGTCGCTGGCTGTTCCTGTCTCAAAGCAGCAGCTTCCATTGTGGCCCGAGAGACGCAGCTACAACCAGAGCCTCTGCACCTAAGGAACTGCCTGGACTCACGGACAGCTACTGTGACCACCTCTGCGGCCCCTTCGATGCGGGGGCCTGCCCAGGCAAAGGGCTTCAGTGGGGCCAAACAGCCAGGCGGGACACTTCCAAATTAAGGAGAGTATGGCACCAAGCAAAGCTAAAAGATGAGGGCGAGAATGCTCAAACAAGATACAGGTTGATCCCACTGCCATATAAAAGCCTGGAACATTGTAGCCGGGGCGGACAAAGATGGGGCTAGCCACTTCCATCCTGGGCCAGCTGCTTCATGTGAGAAAACACCAGAGCACAGCGGCGGCAATTTCCGTCTGTTAACAGCGAAATGCGCCACGCCTGACTGTGCACCACGCCTGACTGTAGGTCGTGCCCAGGGTTTGGCACTGAGGTTACAGCAACTGCAGCAGCACTTCCAACACCGCGGCCCCAGGAGTCCAAAGAGCCGGGACTCACTGCATTGTGTGTGTCCCCAGCGGCCTCCCTTTTCAGTATCAACAGAGGCTGAAATGCAGGTTCACAGAACTTCTGGAAGCCTGCGGCAGGATCAGGATGCGGATTTGCTGCTGGAGGGTGTCCAGGGTCCACAGGCTGCAGCCAGACTCCACTAAGTAACGTCTCTCTGGCAGCACCAACTGGCAAGATTCCGAGACTCCAGACTGAGCCCAGCTCCTGCTACCTGGGGAGCGTGGCATCTGGGAGACCCTGAAGGTGACCTCTGAACCACACTCCCAGACGGCTGCTAATTCCTGCCGGTGACGCCTTGCTGTTCTGGCTGAATGATGAGTGAGCCACTCTCACGACTCCTTCCTTGCGAAGAAGCTTTTGCGTGTGTGTGCATCTGCCGAACTGAGGAAGTGAGAATGTCCAAGCCTTGCATCCACCTGGAAATCTGGGCTTGCTCCTGAAGCCTGCTTTGGCTTCAAGTTCAGTAGGAGGGGCCGTCTGCTTTATCAAGTAGGGTTCTCAGTTCTCTGTTGTTTCCGACGTGGTCAGCGCTTAAGAATCAGCAACCAGGCGAGTTAGAAGGTGTTCGGGTGAACGCGTACATCACTGGAAATCCTACAGACCTTGTCCCTTGCAAGGTCAAGAGCAGAGAGGGGCCAGTGCTGTGGTGCAGTGGGTTAACCTCCTGACCTGCAGTGCCGGCATTCCACATGGGTGCCGGTTCGAGTCCCAGCTGCTCCACTTCCAATCCAGCTCTCTGCTATGGCCTGGGAAAGCAGCAGAAGATGGCCCAAGTCCTTGGGCCCCTGCATCTGCATGAGACCCAGAGAAACCTCCTGGCTCCTGGCTTTGGATCGGCACAGCTCCGGCCGTTGTGGCCAATTGGGGAGTGAACCAGCGGATGGAAGGCCTCTCTCTCTCTCTACCTCTCCTTCTCTATGTGTAACTCTGATTTTCAAATAAATAAATAAATCTTAAAAAAAAAAAAAAAAGCCAGAGAGAAGCACACAGGATAGGGGTTCAGTGATGGAGCTATCAGACGGGCCCTTACCACTCCCCTGTTAGGGAGGGAAATGCTAAATTCATTTTATGGGTTTTTCTCCCTCGAAGCTCAAATGACTTCAGGTAACTCGAGCAGGGATGGAGAGAGGAAGGTGTTAAAGCTGATGAAGTCCAGGCGGTTGTAGGACACAGTCGCTGCTCCCCCCAGCCCCCACCCCTGGTGGCTTTAGAGTTGCTCTTCCCTGAACTCGGCACCAGACAGGGACTGCAACAGAACAGCTTCATCTGAACGAGAACTTGTGGAAGTAGTAAAAAATGCCAGCTTAGGCCACAATTACCTACAGCCCCGCCTCCCCGTAGTCCTCTCTCCCCCTTATCCTCAGGAGACACGCTCCAAGACTCAAGACTCCCAGGGACTCAGAGACTATAGCTGGTGCTGAAACCTATTAATGCTGTGTTTTCTCCTAAACACAACATAACCATGATAGTTCCATTTATAAATCAGGCACAGGAAGAATCAGGGACAATACATTATAATGAATAGAACAACTATAACCACACACTGTAGTAACACTGCCAGCCTCACTATGCACTCTGGGGCCAGTATCAAGTAGAACAAGGGTCACTGGAACACAGCACTGGGATGGCAGGAAAGTTGCACTCATGAGCGACAAGCTTACTGAGTGACTACCGGGAGGGCAGCATCCGCAGGGTGGGCCTGCTGGACAGGGCGGGAGGAGGTGAGATCTTATCACACTGCTCAGAGTGTGGCACGATGCACAGTGGACCGACTGCTTATTCCCGGAATATCCCACTTAGTATTTCTGGATGGCAGGTGTCTGTAAGTAACTAACAGCACAGCAGGCAAACCCGCTGAAAAAGGCGACACAGTCTTCCTGCTTCTGCAGGTGTGACTGCTTGTGTTTCTGTCTAACCCGTGACAAGGCTGGCAGAAGCCTGCAAAGGAGACAGAGGGGGCCTCAGAGGGCTTCGGAAGGCGCAGCACCCTGGGGCAGCACAGGGCCCTGTGGGTTTGCTCTGAGGGACCGCGATGCCCTGGCGCCCAGCTGCACAGGGCACCCGGGCCTGGAGGACGGCTCCATGGGGCAGCTCCAGAAACTGCAGCCCGGAGGGCACGATTCCTCCCCTTCTCCAGAGTGTCTAAGCCACTACTGAGTCTTCACAGCACGCTGCCTCAGCCTGCTTTTCCAAGAGGGTAAGTGCACAGATGGCACTCACACAGGGCTCACTTCATACTGACCCTGGGAGTCTGCAGGGGCCCGTTGGGACAGGCTCAGTCCCTTTTTGTGCTGCTACCGTGGGAAACCCGAGACTGGGCACTCTGTGAAGAAAACAGCTTCGCTGGGGGCTCATGGTGCTGGAGGCCGAGAAATCCAAGAGCACCCAAGGTGCCCACTCAGCTCCGGCAGGGGCTCCGCAGTGACACACCACAGGGCGGCAGGCGTGGGCTGGGGAGTGGGCTGCTCTGTGACAACCTGGGCTCTCAGAACTCACTAACTCACCTCCACGGCTCTAAGGCAGCTGCGCAGGATGAGCATAAAGGTCCCCTCCTCCCGCCCGGCCCCGCCACCACTCCTCGGGCAGCTTTCACACAGGGGTTTTCACAGGGAACACCCACAGCCCAGGTGCGGGGCTGTGAAGACACCTGCAAGGTACGCAGGGCTCGAGGGGTCACCAACCTCCACCAGGAAGTGTCTGCTCTGGGAACCGTGTCCTTGAGGTCACCGCTTCTAGGACCCCAAACAGTGCAACCCAAGGGAGCGGCCAGGACAAATCCGGATGCACGAGCACTCCATGGCAGCAGTGTCTGAGATTAGAAATCAAGCGTTCCTGAAAATGCCTGTTTACGGGCATCACTGCTCAGGCGAGGATGACCTTCAAGTTCAAGTGCAGCGTTTCCGTGGGACACTATTCTGTGGAGCTTGAAGTCTCAGAGAGGGGGAAAGGAGTGAAGATAGCGACGTGAGAACTGGGCTTACCTTCAGGAAGGCTTTCTTCTCCAGGGCGTTCATGATGAACGGAGGGATGGCTGCAAGGAGACACACAGCCACTTAGGCCTCCCGTCAGCGTCTTATTTCCAGCTCACGTCTTTTAACCCCCTCGACGGCTGACCAAAATCTGACGTCACCCTTCGAAGGGCCCAGTAAAAAACCATGTGTAGTGATTGTGGAAATTATTCAATTCCAACTAATTAAGTTAAAGACTGTACCCAGTCTCTAGATTTTCGAAAACCACCGCTAATGCCCTCTGCCAGCCAGCAAGTTCTGTAGTCATGAAGGGAACCTCATCTTTAACTTCGAGTAGGCCACTGTACACACACCGGGAGCTCCCCTCTCTGCCTTAGTAGAAGCAGTGCAAACTCACGCGTGGAGAGCGGGGCACGGCACCTTGCTTCCCTGGGAGCAAGTGCACCCGCTAGCTGTGTGGCCCAGAAGGCCCGACCTGACTTCTGGGAGCCGTGCTTCTCTGTTTTCCGCGTCTACAGAAAGGAGGCAGCTACTCAACTGGATCGGGCGCGGGCAGAACGGCGGGCAGGGAGCCAGCAGCGCCGGCTGGGCTACTCGTGCACTTCCTCGGGCAGAAGCGCCCTGTTGGCTGCTCAATGCCAACTGCCCCTCCAGATCTCACTGCCACACAAAGAGTGCCTTTTCCTCTGGGGACCAAAGAGCATGTAAAATAGACGAGCGACTAGGAATTCCAGGAATCGGGCTGGCTGGGCTCCAGGAGAAGTGAGGCGTTTCGTACCAAGAAGGAGCAAAAGCAAGAGTTGAGGCAGAGGCTGCAGCTGCAACCTTGACCGCAGCCAAATCCAGACTCCAGGGCTTGGTGAGCTGCACCCCAGCTCCTCCACCATGGATGAGTCCGCTGGTCCTGAACCCTGGGCACCCTGCCCCCATCTCAGGCCTAGGGCTTCCCACGAGGCTGGAGAGGTGGCCTTTAGTTAACACCGGTCACCGGGACTTTGCTCAGGGAGCCGGACTGTGAATGCACTGTGCCCTGATGTCCTTGGGGGACTGGCTCCGGGACCCCCACAGACACCCAGATCCACGACGTCCGATCCCTCCCACAAATGGAATAGTGTATGCATCAGACGCAGGCACATCCTCTTGCAGACTTCAACTCAGGAGTGGGAAACCCTTCTCCTGCCAGGGCCCATCTGGATATTTGCAACATCACTGTGGGCCGTACAAAAATCATCAGCTTACAAATTAGCCTGCTCTACTTTCCCAGTTTTGAGTTTGCCTGTGGTTCCCTCGGCAGGACCAGACCAGATGATTCTGTGGGCTTGACACAGCCCGGGGCCAGATGCTCCCCACCCCGCCATCGCCTCTTGATGACTCACAATATGTAATACATTGTAAGTGCCATGTGAATCAGAGGGGACTTTAAGAACGTTTGTGGGAGGGGCCGGCGCTCTGGTGTAGTGGGTAAGGCCACCCCCTGCAGTCCCAGCATCCCAAATGGGCGCTGGTTCAAGTCCCGCTTGCTCCACTTCTGTTCCAGCTCTCTGATATGGCCTGGGAAAGCAGTAAAAGATGACCCAAGTCCTTGAGCCCCTGCACCCGTGTGGGAGACCTGGAAGAAGCTCCTGGCTCCTGGCTTTGGATCAGCCTAGCTCCAGCCATTGCGGCCAGTTCAGGAGTGAACCAGAGGATGGAAGACCTCTCTCTCACTCTCTCCGCCTCTCTGTAACTCTGCCTTTCAAATAAGTAAATAAATCTTAAAAAAAAAAAAAAAAAAGCTTGTAGGTATGGAGAAAGATTATTTTGGTGCAACTGTTTTGGAAGCTATGTAATTTTTTTATAATATGTATTTCTGTGAACTTTTTGAAGACCTTTCATATGTAACTGATTTCAAAAAAATTTTTAAAGCAAAATAAATATATCTTTTAATTCTATGTTCTGAAGTACCCCTGTAGTGGTTGTGCAGTATTGGTTAGGGATTCATGACAAGGAAAAAGGCCGTCTGTACTTACACATGCAACCTGCTTTTTCCAAATGTCATCAATCCTCCATCGCTTGAATCTGACTCTAGAATGTTCCTCAAAGTTTGCCTTCCTAAACTTTTCTTCAACTTTTGCTGGTTCCGCCTCCGTGCCTGCTAACGAGCACCTAGCAGTAAAAGGCATCTGAAGGTGGTGAGACAGGTTAGTGGGAAAGCCCGAGAGCAGCTGGTCCGGGTGCTTCCCCGGGGGCTCTGCTTCAGCAGCCCAGCGCCGCCTGGGCCGATGGTGGACTCGCACACATGCTGCCAGCTTCCTGCACAGAGCTCTGCACTTCTCAGGCCCTTGTCCAGGCCTGGCCTGAAGCTGGTTCTACCCAGCCTTGCAGTGGCCTGGGACCCCCAGAGGAACTACAGATGATGAAGATTCTCTGCTTTGGGCCACACTGACTCCAGTGCTGAAAACCGAGCTGCTTCTTGGCACCTGTCTTATTCACAGCTGGTCTAATGATTCTGTGTCCCAGGGGTTTCCAACGGACAGAAATGAATCCTCAGTAGATTGTTTCTCTGCGTGGACTTTTGGAGGTGTTTTTTTCAAGACTGACAAAGATCAGATTCCTTCCCTTCAGATTGGGATCACGTCCAGCGCACTGCCCTGGTCCTACCTGCTGCTGCCCCCCGCCTGCAGTGCAGAGATGGCCTCCCCCACCGCCTCGCCTGCATCCGGGCTCTGCCTAAGATAGATAGATAGCTCCATTACGCATACTTCCATGCGAGCATTCCCCAATTCCCCAAATCCAAAAGACTTCCGGTGGCAAAGACTCCGGGTAAGGCACACTCAACCTGGACGAGGGATTTTTCTTTCTTTTCTTCTTCCTCTATTGGAAAGTAATTTCCACTAAAGGGAGTGGATTTTTTTTTTTTTTTTTTAATTTTTTGACAGGCAGAGTAGACAGTAAGAGAGAGAGAGACAGAGAGAAAGGTCTTCCTTTTGCCATTGGTTCACCCTCCAATGGCCGCCGCGCTGCGGCCGGTGCACTGCACTGATCTGAAGCCAGGAGCCAGGTGCTTCTCCTCGTCTCCCATGCGGGTGCAGGGCCCAAGGACTTGGGCCATCCTCCACTGCACTCCTGGGCCACAACAGAGAGCTGGCCTGGAAGAGGAGCAGCCAGGACAGAATCTGGTGCCCCGACCGGGACTAGAACCCGGTGTGCCAGCGCCGCAAGGCGGAGGATTAGCCTACTGAGCTGCGGCGCCAGCAGATTTGTTTTTTAAAGATGTATTTGTTTAATTATTTGAAAGGTAGAGTGATCCATAGAGAGAGAGATAGAGAGCGAAAGTGCTATCTTCCAACCACTGGTTCATTCCACAAATGACTGCAATGGCCAAACTTGGACCAGGCTGAAGCCAGGATCCCAGATACCCATCCAGGTCTCCATGTGAGTGGCAGGGGCCCGAGCCCTTGGGCCATCAACCACTGCCATCCCAGGTCCATGGGTCGGGAACTGGACAGGAAGCAGAGCAGCCAGGACTCGAACCAGTGCTCAGACATGGATGCTGGTGTTGTGTGCGGTGGCTTACCCCACTGTGCCACAACTCTGGCCCCTCCAGGGAGTGACTTCTTGTGCCCACGGACACGCGGGAGCCTCTTTGTGCTATGTGTACAGACTGAATGAACGACCAAGTCCTACTCACCCATGCCGGGGGCCGCCATGAGGATCCGGGAGATGACAACTTGGGCGATGGCTTGCTGTGCGGCGTTTGCCGACTCACCCAAGCGCTTCCCATTTGCGTCGGTCACGGGAATGCCCACTCTGAGCTCCCTGCAGGGCAAAACACACTCAGGAAAGTTGGCCCACGCCTTCGTGGCATGCCCAGAAGCAGCGGCGCGCAGGGCCCGCCCTGCCAGTGCTGTTGGTGGCACTGATGGGTCTATCTTTAGACATCATAACCAAGTTTAACCCCCGCTGTGATAGACACAGAAGCAAAATGACACTTGTAAACTTTCATAGCAGGGGGTAACTTCTCTAATAACCGTGTGCCCTGAAGCGTGGATCCACTCACTTCAGTGTAAGGCCCATTTCTATGTGCGTGTTCAAAGCTGAGAAAGAAACCCACAGCACTATGCAGTCACAGCACTGCTGGGGCGGGGAAGCAGCCCCGGTGCACGGCCCCGCGTGACTGCCATGCGACAGTCCCTCCCAGGTCCCTGTTTTTCATATCCACTCCAGAATGCTGGTTTCCTTCTCTTTCCTCTCCTGTTATTTTTTGCCAGTTCTACAAAAAAATACCCACAGACTCATATTACTGTAAGCCCCATGAGAAAATTCCAGGAGAAAAAAGGAACCTGTTTCTAAGAATAAATGACATTCTTTGTCTAACCCAAGCACAGCTCACTGCAAGCCTGAGACGCACCTGTTAAGCTTTTTATTATCCGGAAGGAGCAAGACTATTTCAAATGCCCAGGCACTCATCACCTTGCTTCACGAATGAGCAACTCAGAACAAGCGCTTGGTACAGAGGCTGAGCTGCTGGCTGGGATGCGCACGTCCATACTGGAGGGCCTGAGTCCGAGTTTTAGCCCTACTCCACAATCCAGCTTCTTGCCCGTGCACGCCCTCGAAGGGGGCAGTGATGGCTCGGCTAGTTGGATCACAGCCACCCAACGTGGAAGACATGGGTTGAGTTTCCAGCTCCTGGCTCTGGGCCGGCTCGGTCCCTGGCTTTTGCAGGCATTTGGGGAATGATCCAGCAAACGGGAGCTCTGTCTATCTCTGCTTATTTTTCAAATAAAGTGATAATCACAAAAAATCAGCAACCCATTGCTAAGCCTGCTTCATCAACAGCCCTAACCTAATCCTCATGCCTACCTGCAGACAGTGCTGAAGTAAGTCCCAGACCTGTCACTGCATCCGTACACGTCCAAACACACTCTCAAATCTCAAAGGTTTACTGAAGCCAATTATGCCCCGAGACCGTCCTGTGAGGCCCCGGCCCTCACTACGCGAGCAGCCCAGTCCTACCTTTGCCTCATTAACGGGATGTTAATGCAGTTCGCCGCGGCCACGGCAGCGAAGGGAACAAAGCGTCCGATCAGGGGTGACACGTGCTGCGGGGGAGAGAAGCCCATCAGCATTATCTTACTTCTCCTGCACTACGGAAAGGGAATATTTATTTCTTCTCGACAACTCTCAAAATTGCAGTCTTATTTGCACAGAAGCGCAAGTCAAGATGCCCTGTCGTGGGCAGGCTGGGACAACGCACACATCCGGGATGTCTGCACAGCTCAGTGCAGCTCAACACATCTCAGTGTGGTCTGTGGTGAGCGCTGACGCTGGCTCTCCTGCCTCTTCTGAACCACACGGCCGCCAACGGTGTCCAGTGGCTGAACTTGGAGCACTTAACAAACGGAGCCAAGCACTGACCACAGCCTGGGCCACTGGTAATTAGTTAAAACCCTTCCCAAACTCATTGGTAGATGTAATTAAAATATGCAGCTGAAGATAATAGAAAAGGCACCTGGACTTGAGCGACTTTGAGAAACAACAGAGGGATCTGGAGCCAGGCAGGTGAGGACAGATTAGGAAGCTTTACTACAGAGCCAGAAATTGGGAGTACCTTGGTGAGTGCATTAAGTCCCAAAGCTGTTGCCACAGCACCGGTCGTTGCAGAAACGTAAGCTGTTCCCAATTCGCTGAGAAGAGAAAAGGACGCTGCGTGAATGAGGAGAATGCTGGGAAATTCGGTTGTATTACTAGAACCAAGGGGGACATGTGAAACAGCATGGAGGAATGCAGCGGCTGGGGAGTGGGCGCTGGGCCAGGTGGCTAAGGTGCTGGTTCGGACGCCCGCGCTCCCAGCTGCAGTGCCTCAGTCTGCCACCTGCCTTCAATGCTGACTCCAGCAACCTGCTCATGCGGACCCTGGGAAGCAGCAATGGCTCGAGCGTTGGGGGCCCACCACCCAAGTGGGAGAGCTGGAGTGAGTTCCTAGCTGCTGGCTCTGGCCCAGCCCAGCCCCAAGCATTCCTTTGGGAATGGAAAGCACTCTCTCTCTAATAAACACAAATTAAAAAATAAATAAATAAAACGGCATTAATTAAGCCTACAACACAGCATTTGTCATCACTCTACAAGTGGAAGAATCTAGAGAAAAAGCATCAGACCTGAAAAGCTTTTCTACATAGGACTGTACTATGGTCCCCAACAAGTGCAGGTTTACTCTATGCACGTAAGGGCCACAGGGCGCCTAGAGGAGGAAGAGTTGTGTGGTGTTCCAAGCTAGAAATGCACCCTGGGCTAGATGCTTGGAGCGTATCTGCCTCAATAAAAATGCTCTCAAAATATGAGCAGACACTGCAAAGCCAAAATGCAGGGCCGCCATTCTTAGAAGGAGATCTTTAGTGCACAAGAAGGCTCAACATACAATGAAGCACCAGCCATTCTCTGCAGAGAATCTGTCACTGTGCTACACACCGCCGGGTGGCAGATCTCAACAACCTTTGTTCTGTAAGATGGCAGCAGGAATACCGGCTGTCAGAGACTACTTCAGGTGATAAAAGAGACACGTGCCTTCCTCTCAAGTGTTCTCCAAGTCATGCTAACATTCGTAGTTACTCCCTTCAGCCTGTCTAAACATGCTTTTTCCAGGAGGCAAACTTTCAAGCCCATTACTCTTTGGACTCCACAGGTGAGCTACTTTATAAACAAATTGGACACAGAGGTCGCAGTGCCACAGTGTCCCCTTGGTTCTGGGGACCACACTGTCAACACCTCTGTTGTGATGTTGGTGGCCATCGACTCATTGGAGGTGAGTGGGGGTGCCAGCATGTGACCCCCTAGGGGCCACACCTGCCCCGCCTGCTCCGTGTTCTGTGCTGGCCACAAGCTCAAGGGCATGAGAGCGGACACGGCTTCCCAGGCCAGCGCCTGACTGAGTGACGTCCACCAGCTGGAAAAACAGTCATTGGGACAGGGAGGCAAAGAGACGCCTTCCTTCCAAAGATGCCACATGAACTTGGCGCCACAGAAGGAGCTTGTACGGACACTTCTGGAAGCGGGAGGGCACGGCCACGGGAGCGCGGGGCGACACCGCACAGCCTTACTTCACAGTGAGGGGCGCGTCTCCACTCCTGTTGGTGTAATTGACCACGGCGTTGAAGGACTGGTTGATCCACTGCCAGAACAGCACAGCCGGCGTAGTCCTGCAAGAGAGCGAGCCCGTCACGTACCCCGGCCCCGAGACCCAGCCTCCACACACGACGGAACACGGCGACGGCTGGAACGAGAAGGGGCGGGGGCCGGGCAGATCCTGACCCACTCTGCTCAGTGTAGATAAGGATGCCAGCACGGTCAGAGGTGCCCAGAGGATGAAGCTGGATTTGGCACAGGTCCTTCCCCTTGGGGCAAAAAGCAGTCATCTGAAGACTTGGGCAGTTCGGCCCTTCCAGCTGCACTGCCATCCTCTGTGTGCTGAGGCTACACCTACCCTTGCACCTGTACTATTGACACCTGTACCCCTACCTGTACCAGGGGGAGGGAATAGCTGGCCCGCACAAGCATTTGGCCCAGTCTCGCCAAGGCAATCACAGTAGGGACTCAAAATTCAATTCATCTAGAGCAGGTGAATTTTTCAGTTGGCAATTTTGTGTGGCCTGCAAATGATGTTGTAAATCCCCACATGGCCCTTGACAAAATAAGTGGCTTGTACAAATGGATTAAAAAGGAGAATCTGGGACCAGCGCTGTGGCATAGGAGGTAAAGCTGCCGTCTGCAATGCCAGCATCCTACATGGGTTCGAGTCCCGGCTGTTCCACTTCTGATCCAGCTCTCTACTGTGGCCTGGGAAAGCAGTAGAAGATGGTCCAAGTCCTTGGGCCCCTGTACCCATGCAGGAGACCCAAAAGAAGCTCCTGGCTCCTGGCTTCAGATCAGCTCAGCTCTGGCCACTGCAGCCAGTTTTTTTATTTGAACCAGCGGATGGAAGTCCTCCCTTCTCTCTGTGTGTAACTCTGACTTTCAAATAAAATAACTATTTTTTTAAAAAAAGAATCTGCCTATAGACTTTTTTTTCTTTCTCCACCTCAATTTCTTTTAAGTCTAAGATTTCGTGGAAAAAAGGAACTTCCTTTTGGACAACAAAGATGTTACTAGCAGAGGGAAAAGGTAAAGTTACCAGACTGGTTTCACAAAATGGAACTGAAAGCAAAACAATAGTTTCTTTTTAAAGTAGCAACATCTGAACGTTAGTTTTAAGTTTAAAAGTTTTTAGCATAATTATAACCCATTTAAAAGAGAAAACCAAAGTGAACGTTCAGTACATTATATATTTTTCTTCAGACATTTTATGCTAAAACACTTTATATTTAAACTAGAATACACAGGGTACAACAAAAAGTAATGCCTCAATTCTGTGTGCACTGTTTATTTAACATTATTCCTGTAATTCTTTTTGAAGATTTATTTATTTATTTGAAAGTCAAAGATACACAGAAAGAGAAGGAGAGGCAGAGAGATAGAGAGAGAGGTCTTCCATCTGCTGGTTCACCTCCCAGATGGCCGCAACGGCTGGAGCTGAGCCAATCGGAAGCCAGCAGCCAGGAGCTTCCTCTAGGTCTCCTATGTGGGTGCAGGGGCCCAAGGACTTGGGCCATCTTCTACTGCTTTCCCAGGCCGTAGCAGAGAGCTGGATTGGAAGTGGAGCAGCCAGGTTTTGAACCGGTGCCCATATGGAATGCTGGCACTGCAGGCGGTGGCTTAACCTGCTATGCCACAGCGCCAGCCCCAATAATCCTGTAATTCTTATCCCCTCCCTCGATTCAGATGCAGCAAAAGGATCAGCTCACTGATCCTTTGCTGTGAACCTGACATCCAGACTCATAACCCTTCCCTCAGTCCCTTACTGGTGGCATAGCCCCTTAATTAACCACAGTCTCACAGGAAATCTAAATGCTTGAGGCCATCACTGCTGAGTGCTTTATTAGTGACTAGCTCAGAACCAAATCAAAGACAAGTTAGATGTGGGGCTTTTTAAAAAACGTGATGCCTACCACACCGGCATCCCATGTGGGTGCCGATTCGTGTCCCCGCTGCTCCACTTCTGATCCAGTTCCCTGCTAATGACCTGTGAGAAGCAGGGGAAAATGACCCTAGTGCCTGGGCTTCTGCTACCCACGTGGGAGACCTAGAAGAAGCTCCTGGTCCCTGGCTTTGGCCTGGCCCAGCTCTGGCCATTGCAGTCACCTGGGGAGCGAACCAGCAGATGAAGATCACTTTCTCTCTCTCTCTCTCTCTCTCTCTCCCTCCCTCCCTCCCTCCCTCCCCTCTCTCTCTAACTTGGACTTTCAAATAGACAGATAAATCTTAAAAAAAAAAAAAAAATTGTTCTTAAAGGCAGAGTTCCAGTACCTTCCATACACGAACAAGAACAGAAACACCTGTGTGTCCAGCTGCATCCAGATACACTGGATTTCAGAAAAACACGCACTGCACTGTTGACCTTGAACTCAAAATGTCACAAACGCCAGGACAAGGTTCGTCCACGCTGATGTATAATGAAAATGAACCCCTACTTGGGGAAAGATCTTTGTGGCAGAAAATAAACTTCTTTTTTAATCTCCTTTCCCCCTTCTCCAAAGAAACAAACAGAACAAAGCAAACGGCAACAACAAAATAAGAACTCGAGCTGAATCTGATCAAGATTGAAGTTTTTCTTGCTTAAACACACTTACGGGTACAATGCGATGCTGTGATACATGTACACGCTGCAGAAGCACTGAGACAAACGAACACACATGGCCAACATCTCCTGTACCCAGGAGAGATGTTTCAGTAAGGCTGTTCACTTCCAAGTGCACTGGAGCCCGAATGCTGCGGCGAGGTCCCCAGCTCACCTGTAAAATGTCATCATGCAGCCCGTGATGGTCATGTTCATGGGCACCTGGGCCGACATCCTGCCGATCAGCACCATCTTCTCCCCGGTGTCAGGGTGAAACGCCGAGTCGTACACGTACTTCGCTCTCCATAACTCATTTTCCGTGAGACCTGGAGGAACAATTCCTTGTCTGGGAAAACAACAACACATCACATGCGATTGGTGCTCTTCATCGTCTTCCAGAGCCCAAGGCCAGAAGACTGGGCGTTGAATATGTTTTGTTAAACCGCGTCTTTCCAGAAACTACTGTGCCGGGGGGGGGGGGGGGGGGCACAGACCCAGCTGCCACGCCCAGGCAGGGACAACTCAACAAGGGATGGTGGGAGCCTAAAACAGCCATTTCCAGCTTGCTCTTCTCAAATCATTCGTAATTTGGAAAAAGCAAAGAAACCTGAGTGTCTTGTCTACGGGGAAAGTGTTCAATCTTGAAAGAGCCTTTGTTCTACAGGGCATCTTGAAAAATGTCCTTTGATGGAGGATGGACAAGTGCTTGGGCCCTGCACCCTCTTGGAAGACCAGGAGGAAGCACCTGGCTCTTGGCTTCAGATCGGCGCAGTGCGCCGGCTGTAGCAGCCATTTGGGGGGTGAACCAATGGAAGGAAGACCTTTCTCTCTGTCTCTCTAATTCTGCCTGTCAAGAAAAAAAAATTGAAAAATGTCCTTTGAACTTTGCAAACTGAAAGGTTTTTACTCATGTAGACAAAAGCTATGGTGATCAAGAATAACTAATTCATTTTAAACCTACAGTTTGAGAAATCTAGATCAGGAACATTCTTCAGTGGAAAGAAAAGGGTTAGGTACCCAGTCATTATTCTTCTTTATCAAAATAAATCCAAAAACCCAACCAACCAACCATGTTCACTGCTGGAAACTTAGAAAATACAGAAATCCCTGAGAGCGATCGGACTCGTTCATTGCCCCCTCATCACCACGGCTGCACCAGTCTTGGAAAAAGCATCTTCTAGAAGCTACGTATTTGCTGTGTGTTTATTTAATGGCAGCATGCAGATCTGGGGCCGTATTACCACCTTTTGTATCCAGCAGTATCCTGTAAATATCTCTCAGATAGTCTTCTATGCTACCCAAGTTCATGTTCACCCCAGCATCTCTGAATGTGACCTCATTTGGAAACAAGGTCACTGCAGATCCGACTGCAGCCACCCTAGAGTGAGTCGTTCCAGGACTCCTGAGGATCCCCAAATCCAAGGCTTCCCCAATCCCTTATATAAGCTGGCAGAGTATTGGCATAGAACCTGTGTAAGGCTCTTGGATACTACAAATCAGAGACCCTTTGTGGTCTACAGTCTCTGTGGTGCTGACTTCTCCTAAGGTCTACTGCAGAAAAAAACCTGCCGACTGGGGCCACAGAGCCCAGCCATCCCTGGGTATCCACTGGGGTTTGGCTCCAGGATTCCCCTTGGATAGCACAAGCCACGGCTGCTCCAGTCCCTGGTATGCAACGGCGCCGTGCTGCCGTGGGGCCTACACGCACATCTTCCTGTGCACTTTCAATCACCTCTAGATGGCTCCCGGCATCAGCACAACGTAAAAGCTATGCAGGTAGTGGTTTCACTGTTCAGGGAGTAATGACAGGCAGGAAAATGCGTGCAAGTTCAGCATGGAAGCACCTGTTTCTGAGTATTCTGGATTCGGGGTTGGTTGAGTTCCTGAGTGCAGAGCTAAGTGGTGGCCAGGAAGGCTCAACTGCTGCTCTACCTTAGCAGTGCCTCACACCTGCTCTCTCGGCAGGGGCAGTGCATCCAACACCTCTAGTGCCTGCAGCTACCGCCACCAGCAGGCTTCCTGTCTGAGCGCCTGGGTCCAGGCAAGCTCCTATTTTCCCCTAATTCTCAACAACTTGTCCCCTCCCCCCTCCCCGCATGATGCTGTTTCTGCCCAGGGATAGAAAAGAGCAAGGGGTAACCATGGGCCAGGCTGGCTGTGGACGCAGGGTGGTTGTGCTGGGGAAGAGGAGGCAGGGTGTTGAGAAAAGGGGACCCACAGACTGGCACCCACAGCGGAGGGAGGACTGTCTCATTTCAGGCTCTGAGGAACCCCTGATGGTCGTGTTTAAGAGTCAGCAATGGGGAGATACGAGTCTTCCAACTTTTTTTTTATTTTTTTTGGTAAAAAAAGGTTCCACTGCCAAACAAAACAAAACAAAACATTGGCAGAACAGCACGTGAAGGCGTAAAGGCGTGCTGATCTACATACACAGTCAGTACCTGTAATCGTGGACTATTTTTCTTGCGTTCTCTAGTTGTTCGTTGGTGAGCAGAATGTTCCTGGGATCGGTGACGGTGAAGAAGTGATTGGCCCGACCAATGAAGGTGCTCTGGTCCCATCGAGGCTCGTGGATGTTAATGTTGAGTGGGAGTGCCCCAGACATCGTCTCGCACTGCAGAGTCCAAAGACAAGGCCACGTGAGGTCCACTGGACCACGGCACGCTCAGAGCCATCAAGTACAGATCAAAAAACGACTCGGAAACCAACGGCAGAACGGCAGTCTGAACCCAGTGCTAACTCTTTCCTAGGTCTCTGCGGATCTACATCAAACTTGCGTAATTTCCCACCTGTTTTCCCTCAGACGTCCGCGTATTTCAGCATTCTTTGCGTGTCGGAACCCTGAAACCTTCGCGGTCTGGGAGGAACAGGGAGTGGAGGGTGTTCCGAGAGCGCGGGTGGTCACAGGGCCCGCGGGTGGTCACAGGGCCCGCGGGTAGGAGGCCTGGTGCTGGCTGAAGCGGCCACAGGCAGCTGGGCATCCCCTCCTTGATGCCACGAAAAAGGCTGGAATGCCCCCAGATTGCACCATTACAAACCCCCAGACTCACTGAGCCTTGTTCAGCACAGACACTGCCAACCAAAAACTAAAATTATGTTCTTCAGCCTACTCTGATGGCCTGTGAATACGAGTAACACTGGAACACCCAGTTTCCCTCACACAATGTCTATTTCCTTCCTAAAAACCAGCATTTTTCCCCAGTGGTAATTAAACTTCCTCCTTTTAAGTGACACATGCTTATTTTAGGGCTGCGTCATATTACTGTAATATATGTTTATCACAGTATTCGGAAAAATATACTCTTATTATAAAGGAAATAAAGAATAAAAAAAACCCAGCCACTTGAAAAAATCAGTTAAGGTTTGGCACATTTCCTTGGAGACATTTCTACACATATGATCATATAATTTATAAGATAAGGTGATATGCAGGAGCCCAGCTGTGTGAGCCATTACTGCTGCCACCAGCATCCACCTGAGCAGGAGGCTGGAGCCAGAGGCAGAGCTGGGAGTGAATCCAGGCATCCGGGAAGTCTGGATCTGTAGGCCACATGCGTGCCCCAGCACTCTTATTTCACACCCGATTTTCAAACAGATTTGGTTTATTTGCAAGGCCAATGGACAGGGGTAGGTCTCTTCCATCTACTGGTTCACTCCCCCAAATGCCCATTATAGCCAGGATTAGACCAGGCGGAAGCCAGGATCCAAGAGCTCCTCTGGGGTCTCTGACGGGTGGCAGAAACCAGCCCCCATCATCCACCGCCTCCCAGGTGTACCAGCAAGAAGCTGCGGTCGGATTGGAAGCATGAGCAGCTGGGATTCAAACCCAGGCATCCCAAAAGGTGGGTGAACTTGCTGCACCACAACACCCACACTGATTTTTTTTTTTTTAATTTATTTCGTGAGTACCCCCTATGGCACTAAATATATACTAACACCTTTGATATTTATATGGCTTTCAATTTTTCACCATTACAAACAATGTATCTGTGTCCGATCAGACGATTTTTCTTAGACTAGATATTAGGATATCAGCAGATGTTAGCATCCAAAGTCTATACAAGCTGTGAAGCTGATATACTGTAATATTAGATTTCTAATATCAGTTCTAATTATAGTAATCATACTTTCTTTTCCAGGTCACTTGTTAGTTTTTTTTTTTTTCCTCCTTTGGACAGGTAGAGTTACAGACAGTGAGAGAGACAGAGACAGAAAGGTCTCCCTTTCGTTTGTTCACTCCCCAAATGGCTGCCACGGCTGGTGCTGTGCCAATCCGAAGCCAGGAGCCAGGTGCCTCTTCCTGGTCTCCCATGCAGGTGCAGGGGCCCAAGCACTTTGGCCATTCTCCACTGCCCTCCCGGGCCACAGCAGAGAGCTGGACTGGAAGAGGAACAACCAGGACTAGAACCGGGCGCCCATATGGGATGCCAGCGCTGCAGGCGGAGGATTAACCAAGTGAGCCATGGCGCAAGCTCCAGCTTTTTTTTTAAAAACGCTTTACAAGCGTTTAGGTCTGTGAAGACATCAGATGCAATGCTAGGCACTCTTAATCTGCACTTTATCAAAATCTCTAATTGCTATGGCGGTACTTCAAAAAGTTTGTGGAAAAACGGAATTCAAAGATAAATTACTGCAAAAAGTTTTGAAATCCAGCTTTTTCATAACATGCATTTTCTTTCTTTTTTTTTTTTTTTTAAGATTTATTTATTTGAAAGTCAGAGTTACACAGAGAGAGGTTTTTCATCTGATGGTTCACTCCCCAATTAGCCACAATGGCTGGAGCTGCGCCGATCCAAAGCCAGGAGCCAGGAGCTTCTTCCGGGTCTCCCACATGGGTGCAGGGACCCAAGGACTTGGGCCATCTTCTACTGCTTCTCAGGCCAGAGCAGAGAGCTGGATCAGAAGTGGAGCAGCTGGGACTCGAACTGGCACCCATATGGGATGTCGGTGCTTCAGGCCAGGGCTTTAACCCACTGCGCCACAGTGCCGGCCCCCATAACATGCATTTTCCATGAACTTCTAGAAGTACTCTCGTAGGTATCACTGACCACAGGATCAAAACTGACCCTGCTGGGCCCACAGACGTGGGGCAGGCAGTGCAGGTAGAACAGCGGGGCAGCGAGAGTGAAAGTCAGGCCTGCGGTTGAGAAAGCTGGGGCTCCCCTGCACGGGATGTCAGCTGCAGAGGTAACGGAAAGGCGTGTCTCTCCCGAGGCCACAGGGCAGCTATAAGACGTCACAACATTTCAGTGACTGCTGCTTTCTCGTCTGAGACACTTTGCTTACAGTCACAGACATCAGAAACTTTGCTGCCTGAAATCAAGACAAGAAGAACGACACCCCCAACTCCTGACACAGCCGGCGCAGTGGCCTGCAGTGCCAGCATCCCAGAGGGATTCCATTTCCAGTCCCAGCTGTTCCACTTCTGATCCAGCTCTCTGCTATGGCCTGGGAAAGCAGTAGAAGATTCCCAAGTCCTTGGGCCCCTGCACCCGTGTGGGAGACCCGGAAGAGGCTCCTGGCTTTGGCCTGGCCCAGCCCTGGCTGTTGTGGCCATTTGGGGAGGGAACCAGTAGATGGAGGATTGCTCTCTGTCCCTCCTCTCTCTCTCTTTAACTCAACCTTTCAAATAAATAACTATTTTTAAAAAACGATCTGATGATGATTCAACAGGAGGCCTCTCGCTGCTGCTGGAGGCCCGCCCATGGGGAGTAAGAATGGAGGCAGAGCGCACCTGGGAGGGTGCAGCTGAAATCCAAGTGGGAGCTGACGGCTCGGCTGGGGTGGCAGGGGCAGGTGTTGAGAAGCACTGTGGTTCCACGTGTTGTGTTGGGGTCAACGAGACTTCCTGAGAGCTTGGGTGTGGGATATGAGACAAAAAAAAGGTTTAACCGCTGAGGGTTTGGATCAGAACAGAAGGAGGAGCCGCACATCTCAGGGGAAAATATAGGAAGTTCAGGCTGGGAGTTTGAGACGCCTAAGACACACCCTGCAGGAGATGTGCAGGCGGCAGCCGAATACAAGTGTGTGGTGCCAGGGAGCAGGCTAGCCCAGGGAGATGCCTTGGGAACTGTCAGTGCAGAGACCGCGGTTAAAGACGGGCCGAGAGCACCAGGGCAGCCGTGTACACGGAGCAGGCTCCGAGGTCCCCAACGTGCAGGCGTCAGGACACGCTGGAAGCTCGGCAAGGAGGGGAGAGGCGTGACCAGTGGGTGGAAAATCGGGAGAACCCAGCGTCCAGGAAGGCAGGGCAGGTCAGTGTAACAGTTCATTGGAAGCTGACTGGCCAGAGAAGAACTGCTTGGTAACTTGGTTCCTTCCCTTTGTGCGTGCTGAAAACAGGGGCCGTTGTGGGAAGGCCCCCGCAACGCTGCTCGGAGAGTTGACATGGCAAGTTCTGTGCCTTCTAAGCCACGGTAGCAGCAGCAGGAAGAGACTGCACAAACCACAGAGGTCCCTCCCTGGGGACCTGCTTGTTCCTGCGAAGCTGCGCGCGCTGACCAGTGGTTCTGAAACCATGGAACCTGGCGGACAGACAGATGTTACCCCTGCTCTGGCATGAACAGGACACGGCTCTCGAACTCATGCACAAACTGATAGCGCCAGGCTGGTGTTAAGCTGCCACCTGCGCCGGTTCGAGTCCTGGCTGCTCCGCTGTGATCCAGCTCCCTACTAATGGCCTGGGAAAGCAGCAGAGGATGGCCCAAGTGCTTGTGCCCCTGCACCCACGTGGGAGACCCTGAAGAAGCTCCGGGCTTCAGCCTGGCTGCTGTGGACATTTGGGGAGAGAATCTGTTTCCTCCTTTGCAAGAGGGTGGACGTTTGATCCAGTGCCAGTGCCTAGGGGATAGGTCCGGTGGAGGTCCTGACATCACCGAGGTGTGCCCTGGGAGAGTGGCTCTCTCGAGAGGGCTGCTGTAAAAGCCTCCACGGGGCCCAGCCGCTCGCCCTGCTTCTTCCACACGTGCTCCCTCTTGCCTGGGACACTGCACAGCTCAGACGCTGCCAGCAGGAGCGCCATCCCCAGGGCCTGATCTCAGCCTCTGAACTTCGAAATCTGTAAGCCAAGCACATCCACTCCTTCCTACAGCCCACCGCGGGGATTGAGATGGTGACGAGGACCTACCACACCCCCTTGCTGGAGATTCAGACCCGGTGGGATTCCTGGGTGTTGACCTGGGCTCCACGGCCCTGGCTACGGCTGTACCACCGTGAGCCCTGCCCTGCCCTGCCTCTTCTTCTCCCTGCTGGTGCCTTCCCTAGGCCAGAGCAGCCTGCGGTATTCCCCACGGGATGTCAGATGCCTGTTTTATCAGAAAACTGAGCGTCAGGTAATCTTTCTTCCACTTTAACTATAATTCTATCACTATTTCTCCTTTATGTTGAAGATAAATAGTCAAAACAAAAGTTCAAATGTAGCTTTCAGGGGCTGGCATTGTGGTAAAGCTGCTGCCTGCGACGTGGCATTCCATATGGGTGCTGGTTTGAGTCCTGGCTGCTTCACTTCCCATCCAGCTCCCTGCCTGGGTGCCTGGCAAAAGTGGCAGAAGATGGCCCAAGTGCTTGGGTCCCTGCCACCCATGTAGAAGACCCAGATAAAGCTCCTGGCTTCTGGCTTTGGCCTGACTCAGTCTCGGCTGTTGCAGCCACTTACGGTGTGAACCAGCAGGTGGAAAATTGCACTGTTTCTCCCTCTCTATAACCCTTGCAAATTAATGAATAAATTTTTAAAGGTTTATTTATTTATTTGAAAGTCAGAGTTAGAGAAAGAGAGAGAGAGAGAGAGGTCTTCCATCCCCAATTGGCTGCGACGGCTGGAACTGCACCAATCCGAAGCCAGGAGCCAGGAGCTTCTTCCAGGTCTTCCTACATGGGTGCAGGGACCCAAGCACTTGGGCCATCTTCTACTGCTTTCGCAGGCCACAGCAGAAAGCTGGATTGGAAGTGGAGCATTTTTTTTTTTTTTTTTTTTTTACAGGCAGAGTGGACAGTGAGAGAGAGACAGACAGACAGAAAGGTCTTCCTTTGCCATTGGTTCACCCTCCAATGGTCACCGTGGCCAGTGCGCTGCGGCCGGTGCACCACGCTGATCCGATGGCAGGAGCCAGGTGCTTCTCCTGGTCTCCCATGGGGTGCAGGGCCCAAGGACTTGGGCCATCCTCCACTGCATTCCCGGGCCATAGCAGAGAGCTGGCCTGGAAGAGGGGCAACCGGGACAGAATCCGGCGCCCTGACCGGGACTAGAACCCGGTGTGCCGGCGCTGCTAGGTGGAGGATTAGCTTATTGAGCCGTGGCGCCGGCCCCCAATACATTTTTTTTAATAAGTAAAAGAAAAAGATTTAGTTATTTATTTGAGTGGTAGAGCAACAGAGAGAGGGAGAGACAGAGAAAGGTCTTCCCTCCGCTGGTTTAATCCCCAAATGGCCACAATGGGTGGAGCTGGGCCTTTCCGAAGCCAGGAGCTTCTTCCAGGTCTCCCACAAGGGTGCAGGGGCCCAAGGACTTAAGCCATCTTCCACTGCTTTCCTAGGCCATCAGCAGAGAGCTAGATTGGAAGTGAAGCAGCCAGGACTTGAACCAGCACGCATAGGAGATGCCGGCACTACAGGAAGAGCCACAGCACCGGCCCCTAAATAAATAAATCTTTTAAAAATGTAGCTTTCAAGGCCGGCGCCGCGGCTCACTAGGCTAATCCTCCGCCTAGCGGCGCCGGCACACCAGGTTCTAGTCCCGGTCGGGGCGCCGGATTCTGTCCCGGTTGCCCCTCTTCCAGGCCAGCCCTCTGCTGTGGCCCGGGAGTGCAGTGGAGGATGGCCCAGGTGCTTGGGCCCTGCACCCCATGGGAGACCAGGAAAAGCACCTGGCTCCTGGCTCCTGCCATCGGATCAGCGCGGTGCGCCGGCCGCGGCGGCCATTGGAGGGTGAACCAACGGCAAAGGAAGACCTTTCTCTCTGTCTCTCTCTCTCACTGTCCACTCTGCCTGTCAAAAAAAAAAAAAAAAAAAAAAGTAGCTTTCATAGATTTCTAGTTCTCAAGAACCAACTAGCTCCAATATGGCACGTCGCTGCCGATATTATTATGTTAATATATGGTTACTTGAAAAATACAGTGATATTGCACACGAGCTGGAGGGGACCTTAGACTCACCCACCAACGTGCTCGTCACGTGACGAGCTGAGGAAGCTGAAGGCCAGGGCCAGAGTGGGGGCGGGGCTGGTGCCCGTGGGACAACAAAGTCTGGAGAATCCAGAGTGAGCCTGGACTCCAGGGCACTCTTCCTACTCACTACTCTTTAGCTAATCATTATTATTCTTACCAGTTTAAAGATTTATCTATTTGAAAGCCAGAGTGAGAGTGAGAGAGAGAGATTTTCTATTTGCTGGTTTACTCCCCAGATGGCCACAGCAGCAAGGGCTGAGCCAGGCCAAAGCCAGGAGCCAGGAGCTTCTGCCGGGTCTCCCAAGCAGGTGCAGGGGCCCAAGGACTTGGGCCATCTTCTACTGCTTTCCCAGGCCATAGCAGAGAGCTGGATCAGAAGTGGAGCAGCTGGGACACGAAGCAGTGCCCATATGGGATGCCCATGTCACAGGTGCTGGCTTTACTCGCTACACCACAATACCAGCCTGTAATGATTATTTTTAAATTAGGCTGTCAGTCAGTGTCTGCAGAGACATGAGGTGCATTTCCTTTGAGGTGCATCTTCCCTACAGGTGAGAACTCGCCCACCGTCCTGTGCAGTTCCGCACTGCAGCAACCTAATGGGTGCAGCGCCAGTGAGCCAGGAGGCCATGGAGGCCTCACCAAAGGCAAGGGGAGAGCCGGGGCATGGAACCCCAGTGTTTTGGGGGTTTCTAACACATACAACGAATTGGGCTAGACAGCTGCCCAAGAGTGTGAGCTCCTACTATGCGCCAGCTCCTACTACGCGCCAGTGCCAGCGTAGGTTCAGTTCTCACAGCCGGGGGTTTCACACACACTGTGCACAAGCAACAGAAGAGGAGAGTTCAAGTCTTCGATGTCACTCACGGCCAGCCCTGATCAACCCAGCAGGGCAGCCTGGCTCTGACCAGGAGGGCTACGGGGGGCCTTGTGCGGGCGAGCAGAAAAGTGACCCCCTGGGATGCCCGCACCCTAATGCTCAGAATCCGAACGTGTGACGTGGCATGGGAAAAGGCCTCTGTGGTGATTAAGGGTCCTGAAAAGCAGAGGCTCTCTCGTCCCCTGGAGGCGCTGACGCAACAAGGGTCCCCGTGAGAGGAAGGGAGGGGCCTGCGTGTGGCACAGGGGTCAGGCCGCTGCCTGCGATGCTGGCTTCTCACAGCACAGTGTCAGTGTGAGTCCTGCGGCTCCACTTACGATGCAGCTGCCTGACACCCCCGGGAAGGCAGCGGAAGATGGCGGAAATTGGTGGGAGACCAGGAGGGAGCTCCTGGCTCCGGCCTGTCCCATGCCCGACTGCTGCAGCCATTTAGGAGGGCATCAGCACATGGAAGCTCTCTCTTTTCCTCTCAAAGAAAAATCTTTTTAAAAATAGATGCATCGATTTCTACATACTTATAGAGCAAGCAGGGGGCGATGGCCAGAGGTGAGGCTGCCAGGAGGGTGCAGGATGCTGAGGCCTGAGGCCCAGAGGCTGGAGAAAGCAGGGAATGAGTGTGCTCCAGTGTGGGCTCTCCCAAAGGCCCAGGACTAAAGGCTAGGTCCCCGGGGTGGCACTAAGGAAGGTGGGGGAACCGCTGGGAGGGGCTGGGGGGGATGAAGGCTCAGACTTCCTGTTTGGCAATGTAAGCCCCGCCCCCCCACACTCCCACGCTGATCTGTCACCATGGCCGTCATCAGAGCTCAGACCAAAG